CCGGCAGCCCCATCCCTTCCCTGCTCCCCTTCCCTCGTCCCCTCCCGGCTGGAGGAGCCTTGGAGCTGCCGTGGGGGCCGTGGGGCTGCCCCGGGGGCTGCGCCCCGAGCCGGGGCCCCTTCCCAGTGCTCCCAGTCTGCCCGTGCACCCTGGAGCAGCCAGCGAGGCTTCAGCTGGGCCGGCATAGAGGCGCTGCTGGGGGTGCCACCTCAGTTTGGTTCGGTCTGTTCTTCTCAGCCTGGGGAACAACGATCTGGGGAATTTTCTGCCAGCACCTCCTCCCTTCCTCCGCTCAGCCCGAGGGGTTTGGGGCTGTTTTCCCTTCTTGGGGGAAATAGAAGCGATGCAGGGCTGAGGGGAGTTGTCCTTTAATCTCCCCTCTGACCAATCAGCGTGCGAGACTGAGGAGTGGCAAGAGATTAAGCCAATGGAAGTGAGGGGCGGGGCTTCGAGCGGGAGATTCAGCCAATGGGAGTGAGTTTTGGGCCTTGCACAGAGTACATAAAGCGATCCCTGAGGGGACCAGTGCTCACCTGAGGCGTTCTTCAAATGTCAGGTGTGGAAAGACTCCAGATTGTCCTGGGTCGTGCATGAGGCCAAGGAGCCGCTGTGGGTGAATCCGGGATAGAGCAGGGGATGCAGCCCCGGCAGGACCCCGGGCTGGAGCAGGGGATGCTGAGAGAGACCCTGAGCCCGTGCAAAGCCCCTGCAGAGCSGTGGAAGTGGCTCCTGGTGGGCCTGTGCGGCATCCCCGCTGAAACAGCCTGTTCCTGAGGGAGGAACCCCTCAGGAGCAGGACAAGGATTCCTGTGAATGACATGACCATTTCACCAAAATTGTGGGAAAACAAAAACTCTCCAACAACGTTTTGAATGTTAGGGAGGCAAGGCATTGCTTTATTTTTTGGCCGGGATGTGCCGCATAAATCATTTCACCTATATATAGCCCGGCTATGCAGAGACACATGGATTTTACAAGATTTTCCGAAAACTTTATRCAGTCAAAACACATAGAACTTCATTGGTTTAATGTTCATTAGTCTAATGTTGTGTAGTCTTTACTATTTGGTTTTTAAGCTTTACTGGGAACGCTGGGAGCAGCCGGGCAGGGACAGAGAGACAGTGGGGCTGGGGGGCACACGATCCTTCCCAAAATCAGTGCAGGAATGGAGGGGGGGTCCCATCCAGGCCCAAGACCACGGGGAGGGGCTGCGGCCGCCGGCGACCCAGGAGCTCTGTGGGCAGAGAAAAGGGGGTGAYACCCTCATTTTCTTGCACAGGTCGAAGGCGAGCCCCAACGCCAAAAGGCAAAACCCAGCACGAAGCCCACAGCTTGCTGCGGGCGGTGTCCAGCTGGGGAGTCCACAGGGGTCAGGAGCTCCAAAACAACTCACAGACACCCCAATTTCCTCCAT